GCTGATGACAGCTCAGTGGGTAAAAGTACTGGGTGACCAAGCTGAGGACCTGAGTTCCATCCCCAGGACCCACATGGCAGAAGAAGAGGACTGGCTCCTGAGGGCCGTGTGTCGGTCCCCATGAGCACATCATGATGCAAGCATGTACGCACACAAATAAGAAACAGATGCATGTATCCTCTTAAAAGATGATGGTGTTAAGCAATATCTGAGTCCTCACAGCCTGTGTGATGCCATGAGCTTACGTCCTGCCTCAGCTGACTCCTACACTTTCACAGTTCCCGCTTTGTCTCCATGTCAAAGCAAAAACAAAAAAACAAAAAACAGTGGAGGCACAGAACTGTTCAATGACCCAGATTGTCCCACAACAAAGAACACGGTCAAGATGCACAGCATTTCACAGGCCAAGCCTTGTATATGTGTGTGCACGTGTAATTTAGCTCCCTAAAACACACCACGTTATTGTTTTTAAGCCTAGAATTTGTCTCAAGAGAAAAAACAAACAAACAAACAAACATTCTCTTGGATCTCCTCAGAAACAAAACTGTCACCAACCTCTTTGTGTCCTTCCTGGAATTTTCTATGCAAATACAAACCCGTGTGTACATATATGGAACTACATCCGTTCTGTTATCAGAAACATCCGCAGGGCTTTGCTGCAACTGAGACTTTCTATCTGTACACACATCTGCATGTTTTTCTTCCACACTGGAATAGCATTGCATTATAAATCCACGTATACCCAGTTCGCTGGTCACCCGAAGCTTTTGTGGTCAGTGCACATTTTCCCAGCTTCCCACACCCGATGCAAGATCGTACTCACTTTCTTAGCCCCCGCAGGACAGTGATTTCAACCTCATCCCCAGGGAGGGATGGAGGAACCAACATAGTATCCCCTGGTGTCCGTCCACCAAGGCGCCACCCCAGCTAGCTACGTGCACACGCTCAGCACCACCTTCAGGGGATTGCGAACATCTGTATGGAGACCCCTACTTTCTATTGAGTTATGAAAAGCTTCCCCGGCAGTAGGTTCTCAGGAAAGCCTTCCTCGGGCAAGAAAGAACCAAGCCCCAGCTGCACAGTCTCCTGTGGCCCCTCCCAGCGCTTCCCACACAACCACCACCTTGTCAGGGAACTTAGAGATCAAGGCCCAGATCCTTCTGAACTTCCCGGTCATTCTAAAGAAACCGTTGGAGGGTCTGGAAGCCTATCCTGTAGCTTTCTGACTGTGGTCCTTCCCTGTCCAGCCATCCCCAAGCCCCAGATATTGGCTTTACTTACCATAAGGACTCGCCACTGGAGCCCCGAGGGGGGCGTTCACACTGACCATGACCAAGTGTACCCAGTTGGACACTGGGGGGCATGGAGGAGCTGGGGCCCGCACACAGCAGCAAAGGGGCCACGGGGAGCCGGTCCACCAGGAAGGCAGTAAGCACAGCCAGCTGCCACCGCCCGGTTATCTTATTGATTCTTCTAATCACCCAAGGTGGGTGGATATGTTAAAGAGTAACCAGTCACTTAGGGAACCTGTGGCTGGGGATTGTCGCTTTTGTCATGGCAACGGCAACCTGGCTAGACCTGAGGTCCACTCAGGCCCTAGTCCTGGACTCTGGGCTTAGGAAAACCTGAAGCCAGATGTGGGAAACATCAGCCCTCCAATTTGAGAGAAGAGATTGAGCAGCAGCAGGGCCTAGCGAGTTGAGAGTTGGTGATGGGTGGAGTTTTATGGTTCTGGACTATGGGTGCGGTAAGTGCATGAAAAAGTGGGGAAGTCGAGGGAGGGGTAGAGGGAGAAGGGAGGGTAAGGGTTTTTATGGCATACCAGACTGGATGCTGGGAGCTGAACATAGACATTGCTAGGATTAATCAAGCCTTGAGATAAAGGAGTTTGAGGGGGGAGGGGGACCTAGAGAGATAACTCAGTGGTTAAGATCGCCGGCTACTCTTTCTGAGGACCCTGCCTTTGATCCCCAGCACCCACATGGCAGCTCACAGCCATCTGTAACTCCAGATCCAGGAAACCCAGGGCTCTCTTCAGGCACCTGGCAAGCATGTGGTATAGAGGCAGGCACACATGCGGATGAAGCACCCATACACGTAAACTAAAATAAGACTAAAAGTAACTCAGTGAAGGACCCTGAGGCGCAGGGAGAAGCTGCTTGCCTAGAGTAGTCTCCCATTGTGTGCAGACTCCAGTCTGCATCTGGGGGTCAGAGCCCTGGTCCACCCCTCATCTCACAGGTCAGCTGAGCACCTACTATGTGTGGCATTCTGTGCTGAACTCCACTGACATGGAAATGAGCCAAGGGGATGTCACCTGCTCTACCTGGAACTTGGAAGAGAGGAAGCTTAATCACATTATCGGTCAAGGGTGGAAGCTATTTGAGATGGACCAACTAGTTGGTACAGCCCTTTGCTGGCTTCCTTCTCCGCTCTACAGGAAACCCACCGTTGAAGCCTGCAGTTCAGCTGAGACCTTCTCTCACACATGACAACCTACCCACCTAGCTCTCCGTTTTCTTTTGCGGATACCCCGTTTCATTTGGCCCATTGTTGGAGCTCCCAGCCTGCCTTGGGATTCTGCGATTTAGATCTTCTCACTTAAAACACTGCTCAAACAACAAACTTGAAACTCAGAGGAATGAGCGACCCCCAGATCTGCCATTTTCCTGGTGAGTCTTTTGCTAAGTTCTTCTGTTGCCTTACAGTAATTTCCCCATGGTGGGTTGTCCTGCATCCAAAACCAGCTAGTGGATAGACTCTCTTCGTCTTCCAGGGTACTTCCCAGCCACTTCCAGGAGACCCCCTAGTTGTCATCATGGGCACGGGCTGTCACTGTTCTCTGCTTCCCAAGTTCTCCCCCTAGGCCGGCACCTTCTTGTCTTCATTTTATTTCTCATCCAGGTTAAGTCTCCAAGACTGTTATCTTACTCTCTCTGCTCCTCTCCCAGTCCCTTCCCTGTTCAGACTTGAAGCTAGGAAGGACCTGAGTACTTTGCTTTCTTCCTGCCTACATCCAGCCAACCATTCATGCTGAAACAAAACAAAAACCCTTGGGAAAGACAGATGAGCCCATGACAACTGTCAACTTCAGTGCATCCTCTTGTTCTGCCCCAAATCCTCTCCTGGATCTCTCTTCTCTCCTATTCCAGATTTTTCTTTCCTTGGACTTTCCCCACTCTCTTTTCAACAGGATGGCACTTGACCTTCCTCAGGGAATGAAGAAGCCAGGGTCAGCCCTCCAGAGCCCTACTCGGAAACCCTGTAGCCCGCCTTCTCATTGCCTTCCATCTTCCATCGTGGGCACCTGCAACAGCAGATCCTCAATCCCACCCTGACAGCTCCCTCACGTTCCTTTCCGGTGCTAGCACTTGGATTCAAGCCAACCTCGTTTTTTTACCTCTCTACTGAAAATTGCTGTTTGCTCTTTCCCAGCTTCAGTGCTGGCCTCGACAAACCAGGTCTTCACCTCATCAGTTGTCTTCTCCAGTAAAAACCTGGTGGTGTCATTCCAGTGATGAGATCTTGTTTTGTGTTTGTTTGTTTGTTTGTTTGTTTGTTTGTTTTTTGAGACACCGTCTCTCTAGGAAGTTTTGGCTGGCCTGGGATTTGCTCTGTTGACCAGGCTGGCCTTGAACTGACAGAGATCTGCCTGCCTATCTCCCAAGTGCTGGAATTAAAGAAAAGCACGTGCCACCTCATGGCTCCAGTGGTGGGATCTTAATGTGCCGCCTCACTGCTTTGCTTTCTGAGAGAGCCCTAAGAAGATTCAGGATTCCATAGGGGCTCTAGGGAAAGGGGTGGGTTTTCTGCCCACGCTAGGTGGTTTTTTGTTTGTTTGTTTGTTTGTTTGTTTGTTTTAATGGAGCCTTTTCTAGCCCACAGGGAGTGGACCCCAGCATGAGGGCAAGGTCTGAAGGGGGAGATTTTTACTATCTCTAGGACAATAGGACTTTTGTGTTTTATGATCTGTGGGTGAGATGGGGTGGAGAGAGGGGAAATGGTTTATTGGAATGAAAATGACATTGTAAGGGAGAAAGAGGAGAGAACCAGCCTGTGGTGTCTAAGATGGAAAACTACACTGTGTAGTGATGGAGCAGATGAGGGCAACGGAGTACAGTGATGGTTCAGAGGGAAGACAGAGCAGGACATGATGGAGTGCGACAGGGAAGAAAGGCAGAGGCAGAAACAGCTCCTTGGCCAACTTGCAGTTGTGTCTTTGGAGAGGTTCCAGGAAGGTCAAAGAAGTGTGAATTTAAGCCTCAGTGTCCTCATCTCTGAAACAAGTCTGGACCCTGTGGTTGTTCTAGAAAATGTACTAAGGATGGGGCTATGATGTGCACACACACAAAAAAAAGCCAGGACTTGAAGTTTTCCCAGTGGAAGAGAAAATCAATAGCTTGCACAGATTAGCCAGGAAGGCCGAACTGGATAGCTGGAGTCAAGTCTTAAAGCTGCTCAGTTGTCTTCATTGTTCGCTATGTAGCTGAGGGTGACGTTCCGTTTCTGATCCTCTTGCCGCTACTTCCTGAACCCTGGCATCGCAGGTGTTCACTGCCATGTTGGGCTTGCGCAGTGCTTTCAGGCAAGCACACCAACCCTGAGCTACAGGTTACAGCTGTTTTGTAGGTGACTTTCACTAGGTGGACTGTCTTGGATTGGAAGCGCGAGAGTCACAAACTAAACTTCCTGTTCTGTTCCCAGCAGCCCTAGCTCCAGATAAAATCATGCAAATGAAAAATGCTGGTCTTGCAGGGCAAGCCTTTAATCCCAACACTCTGGAGGCAGAGGCAGGCAGAACTCTGAGTTCAAGGCCAGCCTGGTCTATACAGAGAAACCCTGTCTTGAAAATCAAAACCAGAAAGAAAGAGAGAGAGAGAGAGAGAGAGAGAGAGAGAAAGAAAGAAAGAAAGAAAGAAAGAAAGAAAGAAAGAAAGAAAGAAGAAAACTAAGAGAAATGCATGTCTCCTCAGATATCAGAGAGAAAAAAGATGTTTCTAAGGAAGGGAGAGAAAACTCCTTTGATATATATTGAACATTTAAGAAAAGGAATTTATAAAGAACTGTAGGGCCTCCCCAACTCCTCCTCTCCCTTTTGGCTTTGGGGAGGAGTCTTTCCAGGGCCAGCCCCAGCCTGGAATGCCATAGCACTGGGCCAGCTCAGACCCACGGGAGCCTGTTGGATTTGAGCCCGGAAAAGCACATGTTGCTGCTGCAGTTGCCTTGGTAACTGGGGGGACAGGCAGAACACGGCTTCCCAGTCTTGTAGGGTGCCTCCCCGATCCAGTTGCCCCTAAAAGAGAGGAGGACCAGAGAAACAGGGTTAGGGAGCAGGAGAGTTTATACAGCCTTCACACATTTTCACATTTCAGCCCTGGCATCTGCTGCCTGTGTGACTTTGAGCCTAGCACCTCTGTAAGCCCTGGCTTCTTCCTGTGCAGACCCAGCGGATCCCTCCTCCACAGGGCTACAGAGGAGAGCAAAAATGCAGCCTGTGCATATGGACACAGCATCATGCTTGGCAAATAGTAACATCCTGTAAGGTTTGGTACTCTCTCGTTCTCCCAGTCTCCCAGGAGACCAGGTACTCTGATCTAAAATCACCCTCTCAAAAGACCTTTTAGAGGAGGGGATAGGGAGTTATTGCCTAATGGTTATGGAGCTTTCTGTGAATTGATGAAAAGGGAAAAGGTTTAGCAGGGGTGGGGATGCGTGTGGCTCAGTTGGTAGAGATCTTGCCAAGCATGCACAGATCCCTGGATTCAGTTCCTGGCACCACATATAACATATGTGTGTGGAGGTGCACATTTATAATTCTAGCCCTTGGAGGTGGGGGCAGGAGGATTAGTTCAAGATCATCCTTAGCTAATTGATGAGTTAAAAGCCAGGCTAGACTACATGGGACCTTGTCTCAAGAGAAAAATAGAGCTAGCAAGGTGGCTCAGCAGGTCAAGGCACTTGCTGCCAATTCTGGTGATCTGGTGACCCCAGGACCCACATGATAGAAGGAGAGAATCATTTCCAAGAAGTTTTCCTCTGACCTTCACACATGCATTGTGGCCTGTGGCCACCACACTCACAAACAAATATAAACAAACAAATAAATAATAAAATGGCAATGGTTACACAATATTATGATAATAATTGTCACGGAGTTCTTAACTTAAAAGGCCTCAGTGGTATCTTATATGTCACAGTTTACTACAACTTTAAGTTTCTATTATTTATTTATTTATTGTGTGTGTGCCTGTGTTTCTTTGACATGAGAGGAGATACAGACATCATATCCCTGTGTGTCAATAAAACTTTATTTATAAAATGGACCACAAGCCAGATTTGACCACAGATCATGGTCCTCAGATTCCTGCCTTACAGAATGTCATCACCAGCTGTGGGGCTGGTGCTCCAGAGTGCCCTGGCTAGAAGGCTGGTGGTGTGTTATCTGTAGTCCTTCAGCCAAGCTGGGAGGCTGAAGCTTGAGGATTTATGGGGTTTAGGCCAGCTTGGGGTATAGGGTAAGTTCCCAGCAGTCTGGACCACATAAAGAAACCCTGTCTTAAAAGTACAAAACAACAATGAAACTAAACAACATTTAAAGGCTCCTGGGTACCCAAGTAGCACCTTCAGCTAATCCACAACTCACTTCCCCATCTGACTGTGCCTGTCACTCTTGTTCGTTCTTCCTCCTCTGAAACTTTAAAATCACCTTCTGTTCTTGCTCCAGGCTACCTCAGGATCTTATTTCTGTCCCTTCTGTAAGTTATCTACAACTCCCAAGGCTTATTTCTCATAGTTTACATGATCAAATACCCCTTATGACCAGAAATGGAATCCTCCCTATCCTCCTACCTTCTACTTCCCAGCCCCTCACCCCCATTAGAAGTAATTGGGTTGGTGTTAAACATTGCTTGTTTTGATTTTGTTTTTCAGTCCAGATGTCTTTGTAGCTAAGACTGGACCTCACTATGGAGCCCAGCTGACCCTGTGGCCTCTACCGTCTCAGTGCTGAGATTATGCCATGTACCACCAAGCCTGGCCAGTGCTCAGGAAAAGATGTACTTCTCATTTCCTAACAGGTTTCATTAATTTGTTCATTTATCCATTGCACTCTTCAGAACATCAGGGTTAGCACCAGATACTATACATTGTATCTTTTAAAGGTATGCTTAGGAGTTAGGCATGGGGGGCACACCTGTAACCTCAAGAATCAGAAGGTTGAGGCAGGGGAATCAGAAGTTCAGTTATCTTCATTGAGAACTTGAGGCCAGCCTGGGTTACAAAAGAGCCTGATGTGGGGGAGAGAAAAAAAAAGAAGAGGAAGGGGTGGGGAGGCAATTTGAGATAGAATCAAAGTAGTTCCGGTCTTTGTTTTTGTTGTTGTTGTTTTGTTTTGTTTTGTTTTGTTTTCGTGTAACCATTTGAGGGCAAGTTCTGCTTCAAATAAAATAAAGGTAATGGCTAAAGTGGGTTGTTGTGGCTTCTAATCCCACCACTGGGGAAATTGAGACAGAAAATGATCACTGCAAGTTTGAGGCCACTCTTGACTGAGCAGCGAGCTCCCAGCCAGTTCAGGTTAGAATGAGACCTGTCTCAAAACAACCAAAACAGTTTTTATTTTCTTCTCATTTGGAGAAGAAAATCTGTAATGTTCACAAGTCTGCGCACTGATATCGGATGGGAACTTTTCTTGCTATTTCCCTGTGTTTCCGAGATGGCTCCTGATCTCCTGCCTACCAATGTGAGTATGAGAGAGAGCTGAGCACGCTCTGTTCATCTTTGCTCTTCCATCCAGTCCGCCCTCCTGTTGAGGGGCAGGTGATCTTAGCTGTCTGTTTCTTGGGGTGAGGTCAGAGGGGGCCCTGCACCCATGATGACAGGGATGCAAATGCTCAGTGATGCCTGGCCTCGGTGTGAGAGGCCAGCTTCATGGTGAAGTTTAGGGGACAGAAGGGCTAATTTAGGCCATAACTCTTCTCTCTCTCTCTCTCTCTCTCTCTCTCTCTCTCTCTCGTCTTGGATTCAGAAGGATTATTGGCTGAAGCTGTGGCTAAATGGTAGAACACTTACTCAGCTTGGGCAAGACCCAGTCCTAGAGCCACAAAACAAACAAACAAACAAACAGTCTTGTCAGTTGACTCTGAAACTGCCAGAGCCGGTACAGCGTTGACGAGGAGGAGCCCTGGCACACTACTTACTTGATGGCGTAGTTGCAGACCAGGTACACGGCCTGTTGCCAGGTGCTGCCCCACACACTGATGCTGCTGCAGGTGTGAACAGCGCAGCCCAGCCGACTGGAGGATGCCCACACCATCTGCGGAAGCACAGAGCCAGGTAAGGTGAGACTTGGAGGAGCCCGGGAGCTCTGGGCTGCAAGGTTTTTGGTTCCCATTCCATTTGAGTACATTATGTGAAGCTTTGGGGTGGGGCACAGGACACCCAAACGGGGGTCAGGGGGAGGGAATAGGATGGGGAAAGGGTCCATATCTGCCTATTCTAAGGAGGACGGTTTGAGGCATTTAATTTGTAATAGAATGTCTCTCAAAAACCACATTTTACTGAAACCAACAGTAAGGAATGTTTCACATTGTTACATTGTTGTACAAAAGAGTGTTGGAAGAAGCAGGGGTGTGGCTTAGTGGTAGAACGCATTCCTAGTGGTTGGTTCTAAGCCCCTGGGATTGATTCCCAGCATACCAAAGGATGTTACAAAGCAAAGCAATATCTCTTCACATCAGGTATGATATAGAAAAGGTGTTTTCTATACCTTCTCATTCATCTTCTTTTTAAGATGTTCCTTTTAGTGACAACCTTTGTAAGTCACTGTAGTGTTGGGGGTTATACACGGACTTTTGAATCACACACATTTGAATCAGCATCTCAACATTGCTTGCTGTGAGGTTTTTATCTCAGTCTCTAATTTCCTCTGTGCTGCATTAGGAAGATGGAGGTAATAATGGCCCATGGGTTTGTGGGAGTTTTTTGTTTTGTTCTGTTTTGTTTTTATACAGAGCCTCATTATATATCCCTGGATATCCTGGAACTTGATATATAACCAGGCCGACACTGAATTCACAGAGATCTGCCTGCCTTTGCCTTCCAAGTGTTGAGCTGAAAGGCATGAGCCACCATACCTGGCATTTTTTTTTTTTAAATAGTTGGAATGAGCTTGGGTGTAGCTCAGTGGTAGAACAAAACAAATACTAGGAGTCTTAAGAAACAGAAAATACCCAAAATATTCAAAACAAAACAATGGCAGCTTATGATGCCTGTAGTCTCAGAAAGTGATACAGGAGGATTTCTATGAGTTCCAGGCCCACGAGCACCTGTGTTTCAGTATAATTCATCTCAAGTTCTTGTCTGCGCAACTTTCCAGGAATGTACACCTTCCATGAAGGAAAACGTACACTGGAAATGGTGGGCTGCCTGCAATCCCATCACTCAGGAGGCTGAGACAGGAGAATGGAGACTTTAGGGACCAGACTGAGATACACAGTGATCCTGTCTACACACAGAGAAACAAAAGAAAGAAAGCCCATGGGGCCTTTGCTTTCATCCTCATTCTGCTATCCCCTGTTATGGTCTGTCCAAGATGCCAGGGTCTGCTCAGCACTCTTGATTGACAGAAGGGTACCTGGGTGTAGTGGGAGCAGACGGGACCGCTGCAGAGCCAAGGACAGTGCGGGGTACAATCCTTTGGAGCCGGGAACGAGTAATGCCGCTTTTCCTCAGACCAAGACTTCACAAGATCTACCACAGAACGGTACCTGGGAGGCCAAGAACATGAGGTGAGGGAAAGATGGAGAAGTCACTCTGTCACCAGCTCATTGGGTGAGTCACTTCATCTCTCCGTCACATTACCCATCTGTAAAATGGTAGAATGTAGACAGTCATATTTATTGCATAGTTATGTTCTGAAGAGCAGCTGAGGTAAGCTATGGAGAGCTCACCTGTCCCTGGCACATAGTAAGTGCTCCATAAAGCTGTGCAAAGAGCCAGGTAGTGATGACGTCTCAGACAGAGCTTGTATTTTCCTGGAAGAGGAAGTATGCTGGACCATCAGGCCAACCCAGGAAGCTCTCTGCAGGCTAAAAGTACCTGATGGGATCAGAAGATTCTCTCCACCAGCTATACTTGACAATGTCCACAGCCTGAAGAGATCAGGCTACCTCCCAAGCAGCACCTCCTTGGACAGAGTTTAGAAAAGCAGTCTAACGCTGTAGCTTGATGCTGTGATGAACAAAATCACATGACGGGAAACTTCCTGCCAGTACCCTCAAACTTACAAAAGTCTGATGTTCCATTTGTTCTTGGGAATGCTCTGGTGTTTTCATCTGATGTTTTCTCTGAAGAGGCTTGTGGGCTTCCCCTCGCCATCTCTCTTAGGGCATCTCACTGTAGCTCTGGCTGGCCTTGAACTCACAGAGATCGGCCTGCCTCTGCCTGTGCTTTCTGAACGCTGGGACGAAAGGTGTTGTCATTACAGCTGTCTCTTTCTGTCTTTCTGTCTGTGTGTCTGTCTCTCTCTCTCTCTCTCTTCCTGTCTCTTATTCTCACTCTTTGAAAAAGGCTAATCTTTGGGGCTGGAGAGGTAGCTCAGAGGTTAAGAGTACTTGCTGCTCTTCCAGAAGATCCAAGTTCAGGGCACAGGAACGCATGTGGCGTACACATATACCCATAAATGTAAAACGGTTTCTCAAAGATTTTATTTTTATTTTAAGCTATGCGTGTAAGTATATGTTTGTACGTATCTGTGCCCATGAGTGTAGTGCCCGAGGATGTCAGAAAAGAGTGTTGGAATCCCTCAGAGCTGAAGTTACAAGCAACTGTGAGCTGTCTGATTTAGGTTCTCCGCTTGTGGTCCTCAACTCTTAACCACTGACTTAACCCTTTTCTCTACATAAGCTGTTAGCTTTCACTTCCCAGGCTGCCCACTGGGGTTTTATCTTACTCTTCGTCATTATATTTAGCAGGTAGGAATAAAAGCCAAAAGAGCAGTCAGGGGGCGTGGGAGTGTGCACGTTGGCAGTGTGCAACGGGGCCTTAGTTCCTCAACACACTTTCACCATGAGCTTCAGAAGGGCCAGCTGTCGGGCAATTTCAGTGAGATTGGAAGGACTTCGTGGCAGGAGAGAGGGTGTGTGAGCTTCGGGAAGGACATGGTCATCAGGAGCAGCTCTGCAGGGCTCTGAGAGACCCTTCACAGTTCCTCAGGCCTGGCACTGCCTCCAACCATGGTGACATACAAAGATGCAGACAGGCCCAACGACGAGCTCAGTGGTCAGGACCAACCTTGAAGATTGAACATGGGCCCTCGACAAACACCTTATCAGCTGAGCATTTCCTCAGCCCCTGTAAATCTCTTTGAACGTTTACTAGCTTATGAAACCCGCATGTCTAGAAACAGCTAACCTAGATCGACAGAGACCCCAAGTTTGTACTATAGGCATAACTTCCTCAGGCCACGTATAGCAGAACTCAGACGCCCACATCCTGACTCATGAGCTGGAATGGTGATGAAAGCCAGGCTGGCTGTTCAGTTTCATTGTCATTCCTGGGCCCAGTGGACCTCACCTCCTACATGCTGTCCTAGCTCCACTCCCCACAGCCACCATCGCCTTATTGTGCCACTCTCTGAAGTGGCATGAGCTGTAATTTGTCTACCCCTTGTTGCCCGTGTCGCCTGACTAGCATAGGCTTCTTCACATGCAGAGCTGGTTCTTCACAGCCCCCATCATCATGCACAGCACTCGGCCAGAGTAAGTACTCAGTAGACATTTGTTGAATGACTGAATGAAGACAGGGCAGAGGTTCACTCACCGGCCGGAATGGATAGACAGGTTCTGGCCCACGTACTTCATCAGCTGTGAGGGTCCATGGGCCCAGATGCACTGGGTGGCCCAGGCTTCAGCAGACCTGGCCAGCTGCTCATCCCAAACCTGATGAAGGAAAGACTGTGAACTTGCCCCAGCGTAGATAATCACCATGACCTTACTCAGTCTCCTGAGATCAACACACCACTTAAAAAAAAAAATCACAAAACAGAGGCTCTGACTCCAAGGTCAAGCACAAATCCACAGCTGAGCCAAGGTCCACGCTCAGGGCTGAGGCTCTGAGTCCCATGCTCTTTCTTCCTCATTAGACCTCAAACTTAAAGCCCAAAGCTTTGTTCTGGATCTCAGGTCATTGATTTAATAGTTACAGGCAGTCCCTACGTGTGACTGAGTCCAGGGTAGAGAGGAGTCATTGATTTTTTTGTTTTTGTTTTGTTGTTTTTGTTTTTTGAGAAGACAGGGTTTCTCTGTGTAGCTTTGGCTGTCCTGAACTCTCTTTGTAGACCGGTCTAGCCTAGAACTCACAGCCATCCACCTGCCTCTGCCTCCCTGCGTGCTGGGATCAAAGGTGTGTGCCACCATGCCCAGCTTGAGTCATTTATTTTTAAGATCACAGTATTTTCACTTAAAAACTGAATTCAAGATTTTTTTTTTTTTTTAAGGTTTGAAAACATGCCAAGAATTAAGATTAAAAATAAAAGCAGGATATGGTGGTGTACACCTTTAATCCTAGTACTGGGGAGACAGAGGCAGGAAGATCTATAAATTGAGGCCAGTCTGGTCTACATAGCCAGCAGCAGCCCAGGCGAGGCTGCATGGCAGGAAGACGCTGTTAAGAGACAAAAGAAGGCAACGTGGGCCACCCTACCTCTTTCTTCACTCCTGGACTGTCCCTTAAACCACTTGTACCTGTCTTCAACCTTAAATACTCTCTGTACACCCAGACATGTAGACACGTGTGCTGCGTGTTCTCTGTCCTGCACCAAACTCCTTTCCCTTGACAAGAACAGGTCACCCTAGTGGTTATTCCACACCAGTGCCTATTAAATCCCCTCTTATCCTTTTTTATAGTTATGTAAGTTTTCAGCGTGGAAATTCTTCACAGTTTTTACTAGGGGAAAATAAGCTCTTAAAAAAAATGCTGGTTCCCAGGGCTAGAGAGATGGGTCAGTGGGGAAGGGCCAGGTCACTGCTCTTACAAGGACCTGGGTTTGTTCCCCAGTGCCCATGTGACAACTCACAGCTGCCTATGATTCCAGTTCTAGAGGGGCTGGTACCTTCTTCTCTTTAAGGACTACATGAAGTTGAGGCAGGATGGCAAGACACGGAAAATTACCGGGCCACAGGAGGAGAGAAGAGGCCCTCCCCCTGGGACCTGGTTAAAGTCCTCCAACAGCTGAGACTTAGAGGTGCTAACCACATTTTTTATTGCTGACAAAGACCTTGTTTCAAATCTGAACCGAGGGCTGGAGAGAGATAGCTCCGTGGTTAAGAGCACTGGCTGCTCTTCCCACGGACCCAGGTTCAGTTTGCAGCACCCACATGGAGGTTCAGAACCATCTGTAACTCCAGTTCCCAGGGATCCAACGACTTCTCCTGGCCTCCGTGAACACTAGGCACCTACACGGTGCAGTCATACATGCAGGCAAGACACTCACACACACATAAAAATAAACAGAAAATATTAACAAACAGAACCCCAAGCCCTCAGTTTCCTTCCATCTCTGACTCCCAGGAATTCTTTGTGTTGGTATTTGCTGTTCACTCAGCAAATATTGAACAATATTCCTTGGCACCAAGGACTCAGTCTAGCAAGGAAATGAGCTGTCAAACAGGCATGACTCACGACAAGCCCAGGACATGTGGGAATGTGGGAAGTGCCCCAGACCTTCTTGGTGCTTGGAAGACTTCAGGAGTGAGGGCTGTTTGGTGTCACCCTGATCTATGGGCATAAGCCACCTTGCAAATAAGAAATGGAGGTGCCAATAGACGCCCAAGCATTCCCATTGCTGCCTCGTGTTCTTTTAGGGAAAGCAGAGCAAAGAAAAAAATGGAGGGAAGGAAAAAAGTAAAAGCACTGGTGACCTTCCCCAGCATCCCTGCTGAGACTAGCTAGCTTGCTCCTGTGTTCTATACCACACACCTATGTAAACACCTGTCGGGGCCACCCATACCGCCCGGTGCTCGATTAAATGCGTCATTTGTTTGGGAACCTGGGGGCCTTCTGCGAGGCAGGCAGGTTTAGTGTTAATAAACGAACAAACGGGTGAGCAAACAAATAAATGACACCCCACCCACCCACCCATCCCCATTGCTTGCTATCTGGCTCCCATCTGGCCTCTTCGTAATTACCCCCTGATATCTGATATTGGGGCTCTGTATCTTGTTGTGGTCTTTAATTTCTTTTACCTACCCCACCTCGCCCCGACCCTGAAAGTAGGCTTCTTGAGGGAACAAGCCTTGTTCTCCGCAGTACCCAGAAGGTTTAGTGCTGCATCTGGCTCCCAAGTAGGAGGTAGTAAGCAAGAGAACATTGAGAAGGGGCCATATTTCCAGTTGTTAGGCGGGAGGGGGTCTATCAGCTATCTCTTTCTCTAAAGAAGTCTCTGTGGGCCCGCAGCCTATTGTCCCCATGGTTTGGGGACAATGGTCCTGGGGAGGAGCTGTGATAGGAAGATATTCCTCCTGTGCTGAAGGTTTTGCCTTCTGGCAGACAGAGCTGAGAGACACCAGGACTGACTCTTTGAAAAAGACATCCCAACCTGCACTGAGATTCGGCTCCTGGCGTTCCTCAGCCCAAGATACCCTGGTGCCTGTCTGTCCTCCGCCGAGGCTGGGAATGAATGGTCTGGGCGTGTCAGTCAACCTCCTCTGCTGAGAGACAATAGCCTGGAAAGCACCCTGTCTTCCACCCCCTGCAGGTCCCCAGTGTGGAGCAAAATTCTTGGGCAGCATATTGTGTTAGTGGAAACTTCTGCCTTAGCAGCGGGTAGACCTGGCTTGCAATCCAGACTGGGGAACTTAAGGCAAATTTATCCTCTGACTCTCAATCCCTTCATTTGGAAAACAGACAGTACTGTCTTGAAGGAAGAGGGTTATGTGAAAGGGTCCCAAGGTGCTCTACAGATACTATCCCTCTCTCTCCACCCCCATCCCTCTCTACCCCATTCCCATTAACTGAGGATTTATGCAAGGACCTTACTTTCTGCATCTGTAAAATGGATTACTCATTTTCACTGTTTGCTTGGGCCAGCCAGGCAGATGGTCCAGCTCTTCAAAGCCAGCTCCAGGCCACAGTGTCATATGGTGTCAGCTGGAAGGTGCACCCGGAAGGCTTGGGACTCACCATATACTCCATGTTGGCAGCAGGTGGGTGTACGCTGGCCCGGATGTGGTTGTGATAATCCAGCAAGGCACTCATGTCCCGAGCAGAGATATGGCGCTTCCGGCGGTGCCGAGGCACCCCCAGGCCAGACAGGGGCCACACGGCTATGTTCTTGGGTTGGCCCTGGACCAGTGTGGTGTTGGGCATCTTTAAGGCCCCCACTGTGTGGCCTGTCCAGAGGAGAAGGCCTGCAAGGCCCACGATGCTGGACAGAAGAGGCATAGCTGTCTGGGATGGTATACCTGTCTGGTGTAGTTAGAGCCGCTGCCTGGAAGAGGTGGGTGTGAGAATGCCAAACCCTGAGAGGTCTCCTTGGCACTGCCAGGCCAGAGAATGCTCCCTGGGAACTTGGCAGAGATGCTCTGACCCAGCTCTGGTCTAGGTACTCAGTGCTTCCTCCTTCCTCCCCAGTAGATTCAGTGGGTTAGGTGATGAGAAGTGCCCAGACAGTGGCTAATTCAGACTGGAGTGGGAAGGTGCTACCACCTCAAAGCCATGGCTCTGTCACATCTGCCCAGTAGGCAGACGGCTATCCCCTGTGGCCAAATACCTTCTTCACCAGTCCCATAATGTTGGGCTCGGTAGTTGCCCACAGAAGCAGGACAGGCCTTTTTCTGAGGGCAGCAGCCTCAGGGTGGAGGGGGTGACATGGGAAGGACAGACAGCAGAGGATGACACAGAGGCGGAAAGGACACCAGAGGTCAGAAAAAGAAAAAAAAAAAAAGCAAGAGAAACAAAAGGAAAGGGGGAGAGGAGAAGGAAAAAAGGAGGAGGAGGAGGAAAGGAATGTGAAAGAAGTAGGAAGGAGGGCGGAAAGGAAAGCTAGAATGATGGAATGAAAGGAAGAACGTGGGAGAAATAAAGGCAAAGAGGAATAGAACGAAGGAGAGGAGAGAGGACAGGAGAGGAAAGAGGAGGCTAGGCATCAGGTTCCCTGGGGGCACATACCCTGAACAGGCAGCCCCAGGAGGTGGCAGGAGGTGCTGGAGAAGTCAGGGGACCTCTGCAATTACCCTGGTAGTGCAGCGACTTTAACAGTCCCCAGGGAGCGATGGCATCTGACGTCCCAGCCAGTGGGCCCCCTCCTTGTCAGAGAGTGAGGCTCCGCCTGCCTCTTCTGTGGGCTTTTCTCTCCAGCCCTCTCCTCCTGGTCCCTTTGCCATCTGGCGTGTGCAGGGGCTGTGGCTGAGCTGCCAGCTGGGTGGAGATAGGGTAAAGGGGTAGGAGTCCTAGGAAGGCATGCCCTTACACCCAGGGAGATCCCAGACCCAGGGGAGGCCTTTTCTCGCCAGACCCCTGCAGGACGAAGCAGCAGGAGGGAGTTCTGACTTCTCACTAGGAAGCCCTCAGCTTCAGAGTGGACAGATGTGATGGTGGTCCAGGTATGAGCATCCGCTATGTGCCACACCCTAGGATGAGAGCTTTACACACAAAAAGCTCATCCAACATTTGGAGGCAGGTGTCACGACCCTTCCTTGTACCATTCTACAGGAGAGGATTCCAAGCCCCACAGAGGTGAAGGAAGAAGGTCACAGTCAAGAGAGCCTGGGTTCAAATCCAAGTCTGCCCACCAGGGCTCTGTGAGCATGAGCAGATGATATTCTGTTTTGTGTCCAAACAAAATGCAAGTGTATGGGGTGAACCCCGCTCACACAGCATGGTGTGTGTGTGTGTGTGTGTGTGTGTGTGTGTGTGTGTGTGTGTGTGCAGCAACGCGATGCAAACCCTTTTATAATACTCACTGCAAAGTGTCCACAAACCATTGATTGCTGAATTGTTGATTTATCCTCACTGGTACAAATGAGAGAAACAGGCACCTGTCTCATCACACTGTTGTGAGTACAAACGAGTCAATGTTTGTAGAGTTGCAACAGCAGCTAGCACACCGTGTGTTTTCCGTGGCTGTGCACACCATGTTCTCGCACAGCCATGTGCTCCTATTTGACTGATTGAACTTGTGTGTTACACGTGTGCCAGTCCAGTTACACACACGTAGGCATTCGGACTCATGTGTCATATCCCGTATACCCAGGTGTGGGTGTGAGCACACAGTGTCTATACAAACATGTGTGGGTGTGATTGGTTCCCACTGGTCTCTGAGTTGCTGAAGTTGTGGGTTTGGCATTCATTCTTCTCCTCTATGGTTTTCTGCACTGATAACAAGCACCCTTTATCACTAGGAGAGTCATGCTTACAGGAAATGTGTAAAAGGGATAAGGACGAAAAACCCTAGGCTGGGGCTGGAGACTTGGTTCAGTGGTTCAGAGTGCTTGTTGCAAAGGACCTGGGTTCGATTCCCAGCACCCACATGGAGGTTCACCACTCCCTAGGGCACCAGGCACACATGTAGTATACAGATGTACATTCGGGCAAAACACACATACACATAAAAAATAATAAAATAATAAAACTCTCAAAAGAAAGGGTTTGTTTTGTTTTGTTTAGAACCCCCCCCCCCCCAGGCTGAAACAAATCTAGAAGTAGTAAGGTTGAGTCCCTGCCCAGCTGGGGTACAGGACTTACGCCAGGTCTGCCTCCAGACGCTTGAAACCCTAGCTCCAGGCTGCCACCCAGACCGCTCCTCCACAGGCCAGACAACAAGGCCGCCAAAGCACACACTCTCCTGCTGCGGCCCATGTCCCTAGCCACAACATCCCTGGCTTGGCCCAAATGACCGCTGGAAACTAAAGGAGGCTGGAGGAGGCTGAGGTCCCTGACCGCAGCAGGGCCTTCCCACCACAGGGCAAGAGAAGCAGACACAAACATCTCCAGCTCTTGGGGACTGAGGACTGCCAAAATATGTCCAAAGCCAAGTGCTGCCCAACCCAGACCACTCCCAGGCACTCACAGACCACTCCCTGTGAAGTGCCACTCCCAGGCACTCCATGTGAAGTGCCACTCCCAGGCACTCCATGTGAAGTGCCTAAGCCTTGCTTCAGAGCTTAGCATCAATGGTCCCAGTACATGGAGCATCTCAGACACAGACATGCATCTATTGTACAGACGGACACACTGAGGCTGAGGCGTTCTCTGCTCTGGACAAGGAGGACCCAGGTCTGTGAGGTAAGTTTTCACACCAGTGTGAGCTGGGCGTGGTGTCAAACGCCTTTAATCTGAGCACTTGGGAGGCAGAGGCAGGTGGATGTCTGTGAGTTCGAGGCCAGCCTGGTCTACAAAGTGAGTCCAGGACAGCCAGTGCTACACAGAGAAACCCTGTCTCAGAAAACCAAGATGAAACAGAGCAAAACAGCCAGTGTAATGCAGGAAGTAATTAGGAGTAGCCCAAATCAGGAGCTTTTGGTTAATGTCTCTCAGTGGCTTCTACTCTTGTTGGGTTCAGCTACTGCCTGCTTCTTGCCTACTCTGGGCTTCAGCGAGTGAAGAGAAGTTCTTCCAGAGTGGTGTTTGAGGCTATGTAGATTGTGGGTCACAGGAGAGACATCCAGAAAGCCTGGGTTGCTGGTCCAGCCCCAAGGATTACTAGCTGTGTGACCACTAGCAAGCTACTCAGTCATTCCATGCCTTGGTTTCTTCGTCTGTAAAGTGTAACCATGGTGCTGGAGAGAGGGCGAAGTGGTTAAGGGTGTGCATTGCTCTTCTAGAGGACCTGAGTGTGGTTCTCAGTGTGCACACTGGGTGGCTCACAACTGCTTGAAACTCTAGCTCCAGGGAGATCTGCTGGCACCTTTACACACACACACACACACACACACACACACACACACTGAGGGGGGGGGAAGAGAGAAAGAGAACTAAAATTAAAAATATGAGGCTGAGGCCAAGCACGGTAGCACACACTTTTAATTCCAGCACCTAGGTGACAGAAGCAGGCTTTGAGTTCAAGGCCAGCCTGGGCTACACAGTGAATTCCAGGACAGCTAGGGCTACAGAATGACACTCTGTCGGAGCTGGCGGGTCCCAGAGAGCAAAGTCAGTTTGTCAGGCTTGGCAGTGAGTGCCTTTACTCACCTGAGAGATCTTGCTGGCCAGAATTAGCATCTCTTAAGACACTCAATGAAATGCCTGTCATAGGACAAGCCGCTGGTCCTTCTAATAACAGCTAACAATGACATCAACAGGCAGCATTTGTGGAGCATGTGGGAGATGACAGAATCTAAGTGCCTTACGCACACAGTCTTGACAAGCCTCATCCCATCTTCATGACATCAGCAAGCCTGCTCTCCAGTGGACAAAGCGGAAGTTCAGCGAGGATGAGCAGTTTGCCAAGACTGTACCTGAAACAAGAGTGTGGACCAGGAGACTGACGCTGGCAGAGGAGCCTGAGAAGCTGAGAGGCCAGTTTTCAGTTGAGGGAGGAGGTTCAGAGAAGTTAACCAGCTTGTCAAAGGAAAATACACAGGAGCTGGCAGGCTGAGGCCTATAGCCCAGCTCTGTCCCTCGAAATCCAAGCAGCAGGAGGGCAGCCATTAGCCATTGTTTGTTTTGAAACAGGATTTTCCTATCTAGCCCAGACTGGCCTCAAAATTATAGCAGTCCTCCTGTACAATGTGTGTATCTGGTGCCTTCAGGGGTCAAAGAACGGAGCAGGTTCGCTGGGAACTAGAGTTACAGATCTGGTTGTGAGCCACAAATGCTCTTAACTTCTGGGCCATCTCCCTAGCCCCCACAGCTTTATGTTTTTTATTCTCTGGCACATATTATGTATTCTGGTCATTTCACCCCCATTACCTCATCCACATCCACTCCCGCTGCTGAATCCCTTCTCTCACCAAGTCTCCTCTAAACAATTACTTATTCACTTTTTTTTTTTTTTTTTTTTTTTTTTTTTTTTTTTTTTTTTTTTTTTGAGACAGGGTTTCTGTATATAGCCTTGGCTGTCCTGGAAATCACGCTATAGACCAGGCTGGTCTTGAACTCACAGAGATCTGCCTGCCTCTGCCTCCTGAGTGCTGGGGTTAAAGGTGTGTGCCACTACCCAGCATCCCTCTTACTTTTTAAACAATGGTTTATTTATTTATTTTATGTGTATGGGTAATTTTGTTTGCTAGTATATCTGTGCTCCATGTGGGCCAGAAGAGGGTATAGAAATGTCTGGAATTGAAATTATAGATAGTTGTGAGCCACCATATGGGTATAAAGAATTGAACCCAGTTACTCTGTGTGCTGGCTAGTTTTATGTCAACTTGACACAAGCTAGAATTATCAGAAAGGAGAAAACTTTAAGTGAGGAAATGTCTCCTTAAGATTGGGCATTTTCTTAATTAGATTGATGTGGGAGAGCCTGGCCCATTGTGGGTGGTGGCATCCCTGGGCTGGTGATCTTGGGTTCTATAAGAAAGAAGGCTGAGCAAGCCCGTAAGCAGCACTCCTTCATGGACTCTGCATCAGCTCCTGCCTCCAGGTTCCTGCCCAGTATGAGCTCCTGTCCTGACTTCCTTTGATGATGAAGGGTGATTTGGAGGTGTAAGCTGAATGAGCCCTTCCCCAAGTTGTTTCATCACAACTATAGGAACCCTGACTTAGACGCCCTGGAAGAACAGACAATGTTCTTAACTACTGAGCCATCTTTCCAACCCTTTGCTCCCACTTTTATGTGTGTGTGTGTGTTTTGTAACTCACTTATTTTAATTAGACATAATACTATAGATTTTTTTTTAACATGGATAAGATGATACACTCCATCCCAGGCATGGTGATACACACATGTAATCTTGGTATTCTGGAGGTAGAGGCAGAGGGATCAAGAATTCAAGGCCAGCATCAATTACACAGTAAACTTAAAGGCCAGCCTGGGTTTCATGAGACCATGTTTTAAAAACAAAAACAAAAGGACATGCTACTGACTAAAGGTATGCCCCAAAGCGACAAAGCTATAAAGAAGAGCACACCAAAGAAGAATGTCAACACTAGAAAATATTCCAAAAGTTTTGGGGTGGGACCTTGAAGGGGCTCCTAGTTCTTGACTGGAATTAGTGCTGACAAAGTGGTTTGCCTCCCAATAAAGCCTTAGGGCTACATGCTCCACAATTGGCTCAATTTTTTTTTTTATATTTATTCATTTTGTGTGTGCCCAGTCAAAAGACAACTTT